TTTTATTTTTAACATCTTATTTGGAAGTTGTTAAACTTTCAAAAGTTTGCTACTAAACTCAAAAGAGGTTTGTTTTCTACCTGATGTAGACATAATTCTTCTAAATATGCCATCTCTTTTTCTTGCCTTTATAGCTGTAAATGTGACCGATTGGCATGTTACAAACAATTGGAGACACTGCTGCTTTTCAGTGTTGGAGATGACCTTTATGGACTCCTTTTTCCTACTCTCCTCTCTCTTTGCCTTCCTTGCCCAGCAGCATTTTTTCGACTGCAAAATTACAAGCTTTTACATGGAGAGTGGTTATTTTCCCAGTCCATTGGCCTTTTCTCCTCCATTACTGGAGTTCATGTTTGCGTAATGCCCTTTTGGATAGCTGATGCCAGAAAAGAGAAACTGCGAGACTTGTATTCGGCCCAGTGCTCTTGTCGGGTTGAACGTGGGATAGAAATTTGTCAAATTGAGCAACAGAAGACTGTTGGGTTTCTTCAATTCTTTAGTCATTCAGAATTGGAAGATGAATGTTATTTGGTTTGTTTTGAAGGATCTTGTCCCTTCAGAGTAGTTGAAAGGATTTTATTTTATTTCATTTTTATTAACAAAACATTGTGGTTCTTTAGGTGGAGCGGGTTCCTTATGTTCATCTACTCTCTCCTCCCATGGAATGTAGGCTGTTGAACTTCATCCAGTTATTTTGCTCAGGTCAGTTACCTAGGATTTTTTTTCCACACATGCAAAACAATTCCAAAGAAAATAAAAACCCCACCTCAACATCCTTAGGCTGAGTGTGGAAAACTCTGGACCAAACTGCTGCTTCAGCAGATGAAATGCCTGGAAGGCAAGACCGTAACTACAGCTGTTCTCATGGTTAGTGCAGTGCTGAGGTTACAGGACTGAGAATCGTAGTTGCTTTAGAGCTGTTTGTGGTCCTCCCAGACAATTCATCCAGCCCACTGCTGCCTTTCCTTGTGGCCCCATAGCACCTCACCCATCACGTAGCCTTGCGGCAGAGGGGTGTGTGATGAAGCAGGGTTGTCTTTCTTCCAGGAGGCTGGCAGGAGGCACTGGCTACAGCTGCTGGAGCAGCTTGTGTTGCTCCTTTCAGGACACTTTATTCTTTCCAGGGATGAGCACTGCCAGGGGTGGCGACCCTGAGAACACAGATGCACCTTCACACAGGCGTTGCAGTAGTTTGTCATGTGTGATCTGTGCGGGTGCAGCACAGACCTGTTTAAGGCTGACTCCTGTCTGCACTTGCCACATCCAGCAAGTGTGGGGTGTCCTGAGCGTGAGCATTGGGCTCCATCACTTTGCTAAGGAAAGTGCTGCAGCAGCGGCTGGGCCCCTAAGAGAAGCTGCAGGGGCTTCCAGGGAGAGCTTGTTGGCACCCAGTGTGTAAGGGTGTCTAGTCTTTGTGTAAGGATATTATTAGTTTTGTCCTTCAGTGAGTTAGCGTTGCTGATAGCAGAGAAATGCTACATCTGTGATGAGAGAGCATTCCTTGCTCTCTTTGATTAGCCACACGAAAATAACTTCCCAGGTATGTTGCGTAGGTTTATGTCCCCTTTGTATCCATTTCTGTTCTGCATCCTCCAAGGGGTTGGCAAGTTTGTGATCTGCAAATGGTCAGGGACAGTAACTATGTGCTCCTAGCAATTCGAGGGGAAAAGATCCTGAGTTGGCTACATTAGAATAATTGGAATAATCTCCCCAGGGAAGTAGTGGATTCCCCAACACTAGGCACTTTTAAGATTTGACTGGACAGGGTGCTGGGGCATCTAGTCTAGTCATGCTTTGTCCATAAAGATTGGACCAGATGATTCCTGGGGTCTCTTCCAACCTGGTATTCTGTGATTCATTATACTTAGGAGGTGCAGACAGGAGTCAGCCTTAAACAATTGTGGAAAGTTCAGTTCTAACTTGATCCTTCTCTCCTAGTAAGTAGCATAGGAATCACTGCAAAAATGGT